GCTCTTTCGCTTTCTCTCAATCGAAACCACCTCTAGCCACCAATGTGCCTCTCCCTTTCTCTTTTTCTCTACTCTCCATCCCTCGGATCGAGCAGGCCGGGCAAGTTGCATTATTTGCCTCGAGCAATGAGTATAATGGCTGGTTCCTTCGGTGTGCAAACATTTGCCCCGAGCTTTCGAGGATCGCGGACCGCGAATCAGCCGGAGATTGTTCGCGCTCGCCTCGTTAGGGGCGTGTTCCCTCATCGACACACATCGACACACGCGGAATTCTTCGGCGAAATTTCCACCGGCTGTCTCTAATTGATCCGTGAGTCCGAGCGTGCGAGCCGCAACGGTACGCGGCATCACCGTCCCGCGCTCTTTGTCCCGCGTGTCGGACATGTGCCAGCCGGTCGAACGGTTTTCCTTTTCGAGAGGCGACCGAACAAACAACCAGCCCCTCGTCCTCGGCATTTGGTCGTCGTGGCTGCTTCCAATTGGACTCGATGCTTAAATTGGCCTGCTCGATACGCTGGAAGACGTTTCGCTGGCCCCTTTCGATGACGAGAACGAAGAGATATGCGATTAAACGAGAGACGAAGTCTTCCGCGATGACTCGAGATTCGATGATTTCGGTTTTTAGATTGTATGTTATTCTCTACATATGTTACGTATGATGCAATATTTTTAAATTCGTACAGAGGCTCTTCTCAGAACAATATACAAGAGTTCCAAACAAAATGTAATTTAACATGCACAGTCTCTTTTATAAATGGAAGACAAATTGCTCCTTTGTGCAGCTTCGAGAATTCAACTAAATTAAGTTTCCCGTAAATGCATAAATGTACCCGAGTCTACCGATAAACGTCGACTCTCCCGCGCAACAGCGATTCGAAACAAACTATCTTCCGAAATCCAAACAAACTATAAATTTCACATTTTACAGTGTATACTAGAAGTAATGCTCATCGCGATTGACGTTCAAAGATCGTTAAACCTCGACAACAAAGAAACATCAATTATTTTCAAATAGCCCTTCTATTTTGAATTCTTCGTCTCCGCTTTGTTGCGCCGCGCGAGGGTTAACTCACGCAGGCGTTTACTACTTCCGGAAGCGAGGTCGCACGGGCGGCCCCGAAAATCGGTAAATTCACTTAATGCCCACGGTAGAACTGGCTCGTTTGTTGTGGCGACAACAACATTTTCGTTCGCGATGTCTCCGCGTCTCGTTTGTTTTACGATGTTTCCGAGGGCCTCACCGCCACCGTCCCCCGGTTATTTTATAATCGACGTGCGATCACTTTCGGGGGAATCACTTTTGGGCTACCGGGGGCCCGGAATTTACGATCAACGGCCATAAAATCAGCCATGAAGCGTCCGACTTGAGCGACGCGCAGCCTTGAACGGGGTGGGAACCAGCCGACTGGTTCGCGTTTTATTGTCTTTATATATAATTGGGACACTTTTTGCAGACACGGTCCGCCGGCTCCCTCGAACTATTCCGTCTGGACGTCGGCAGGCGCGTTCGATGAATCGTTGGAATTGCGGCCGCGATAAGACCGTCGTTTCTCCGCCGCTGAGAATACCATCGTCGTCCGCGGTTACGGTTCTTGCGACGCTGAAAAATTCGCTTCCCTCCCCCCTCCTTCAGGGACGCTCACAGTCGGAGCGGTCATTTCGCCGAGTATATTTCCTGCAGGTTTCGTGCGTTTTTCTTCGAACACAAACGTCTTCAAGAAGTTTATTCAGAACGATTTGGTAATCGTTTTTTTTTTTTTTTTTTTTTTTTTTTTTGGAGGAAGTCGAGGGGATGAAGTTCGCGTTGTGGAAGCAGATCGTGCATTTGTAGGAAATTTTTGTATCTATGTACGTACAAAATGAACTGAAACATTTACAAATCATAGTGAGGGATGAAAGGAAATGAATTTGTAAAAAATTCAAAAACAAAGGATACATCATTTTGAAATACAACTTTCTCATTTATAAACATTTATAATCACAAATTAAATCAAACGTTTCGGTCAAGTATTAACATATTCGTTGGTACTTATTATCTAATGATAAGTAACGCTATTGATGTTACTGCAACGTCTTTATTTTTATTACGTCCCGAGCAAATGACTCGAAAAGGCTAAAAAGGCAATATACAACATGTTCAAACGAGTACTTCAAGTACTGCCGCGTTTTATATCAGGCCGAAATCTTACGATTAAAGTTTTTCTCTTCAACAACACCAACTCCTTCCACCGATCCAACGACAACGAGACTTGGAAGTCTCGCTGGAAATTTCATCAAGCGCCGGAAGAGGAATTAACACGGACGTTGGTGCGAAACGATTTCACTGTTGGTCGATGGATTCGAGCGCGAGGCACGCCGCGCCGATCGCGCGAACCGAGAAAAGGCTAGGCTCCGCGGACAGTGACAGATGGGTATCGGTGGCGAGATGCATCGATTGGCTGATCTGGCAGGAAAAGAATGCTGCCGTGGCCAATACGTGGCCGCAGCCAGCAGAATGGCCGGCGGAACACTGTAATGCCGCCTGCGTGAGTTTCTTGCCGATTCGAAGACGGCCCTCGCTCGTCCACCATTGAGTCAGTGTGCCATCCGCGTGATTTCGGCTTCTAGCCCCGGACCTGACAAATTGTAATCTCATTCTTGAGCCACGAAAATCGTCCACCGATCCCCGTCTCTCCTCTATTCCACAGGGTCTCAAACCCTTCTGCCCTCTCTCTCTCTCTCTCTCTCTCTCTGTCCTCCCGTCACACGTAGGGAGACTCGGCTTGGGAACCAGGCCAGTTCGATGAAAAAACCGGAGTATTCCTTTTGCAGGATCCGCTCGCCCGCGTTTATTGATAGAGCTGGTTCCGGGGAAAGCGATCCGTTTGGGAAATCGAACTTGGACTCGACGAGAATCTACGCGATTTCCTATGGTTTTCCTCAGTGGTGGATGGAATGAATGGTCGGAAGAAAATTGGATTTTTTGAGTGGACGTCGGTTCAGTGTAACGTGTAATTCAGTTGTTTTTGCAGTGGGTGGTTCGAGTCAGAGCGTAGGATATTTTACGGAATTTTTATTTCTCGTCGTTTCATTTCTTGGGCAAAAAGGAACAATACTTGTAACAGGATATTTGTATTTTATCGTCCTAGTTTCTACGTTGTGTCAGTCAAGCCAAACGAGCCAGTTAGGTCAAGCTTATTAATTGTACCAAGATACTTGCTTGACTGTAGCATAATTTATACCAATTACCACCATCTCTGTTTCTTGAATCAAGAATCTAAAAAACGAACAAATATTAAAACAAACTTATTTAAACGCGGCTTTATCGCCTTCGAAAATCAACCGAATAAAAGAGTATCTCATCCACGTGATTCCCGTTTCAATCTTCTTCACAAACTATCTCTATACATTATTACTACACGTTATTACTATCTTGGTTTATCAAATTGAACCCGCATCTTGGATTGTCCCAAAAAGCAACTCAGACCAGGAACGTGGGAAATTATTGCTTCATCGTGAAGCACCAACTCGCGTAAAACCATCTTCGACCCACCACCAACCCATTCGCTCATGCATACACGCGGACTCGGAATCCCCCTTCTCAACAAGAAATTCCCCAAAGTATCAAAACAGATCCACGTTGTATCGCGACTTTTCCGAGCGGATGACGCCAACATACACACACGCCAAGAGAGAAAAATCGGTGTCGTTCACCTCAGCGAACAAAACGAATTCCACCGCCGGTGTGGCCGTCCGCGAGAGCGGTTCTTCTCTTTTCTGGATCGCGAGCCGTCGTAGGGAATGGAAGTTCGGGACAATAAACAGTAATGGCGGATACGTGCTCGGGGATTTACTTCTGGTCGGGTGTTTCCCCTCTTCCTCCCTCCAACCCCCTGCCTTCCCCCCTTGTGCCGCGCGGCTGTCCACGAGAAACCCTGTCGCCTGAAACCCGTTCTTTCTCCCCGATTGAATTCAATGGTTACCCTCGTCGTCTTATTTATTGGATGCGTTCCTTCGCTCCGCCGGCGCGCAACAACTGCAACTTGCAACGGCACTGAACGGTTGCACACCGATGTCGTCCCTCTTACGAATGCTGTCCTCGCTGCTTTTATCCACGGCCACGACCACGACCACGCTCGCCACGGCCGCTTACGCGCGCGGAAATTCGTTTCACGTGCACGCCGCGCGTATGTTGACGACTTTCCGTGGATAAGGGGTGCAGAGAGGGGGAAGGGCGCAAGAGAACGAAGATCGATCGGTCGATCCATCGGAAGATTCAGCGAACCACACTGACCGTGAGATGGACGACAGTGTTTCGGCCAGTTTTGAAGCAGGGTCAGTGAAGTTTGATTTATAGACAAAATGGCTTTATATCGATATTCAGTTTGTTTCCTCGATCGTAACGTACTATGAAATACTTGAAAATTTCAAAAAATTGGTATTGATAAAATTAATAAAAATTAGTGTGTATTGTCCTTTTGGTACTATTTAAATTGTATTTATATTGAAATTTTATGACCACAATTCATGGTCCGATTCATGGAACGTGGCACTTGCAGTCAATGGAAATGTTCGAGATTCTATTCCCAGTTTTCAGAGAATCTAATTTTGACCTCCATCAACGGCGAGCAATCATCTTCAAAAGGAAAACATGGATCCTTCTCTAAGATCGTTGTTCACGGTTGTCGCCAAAACAGAAGAACAAATCGTTCGATGGATGGGTCAGATAGTTGCTTAGTTTCGATTGATGGATCACGAGCATTCAGTAACGATCAGAGCGGAATCTTCTCATTTAGCATCGACCGTTCTGTGTATCGCTCGATCGACGTTTACCTTCTTTCCAGCTGCTGTCCAATCTTCTTACATCAAGCACGACTGAACTATTGGTTAATTTCGTTGAATTCTCTTTTTATCCTCTAGATCTTCATCTACGCTTCATTCCACACTAAATTCTGATCTCGTCGTCGTAGCAAAACTTGTTAATTGGTTACTTGCGACATTCTTACTCTGCCTTATATTTTTTTCAAGCTCTCTCAGAATTATAAAGGAATCTAATAGTTTCTAAATTTCAAACTATTCTAGATGAAACGTTCAATTTTTTTAATTACATATACATCGAAGATTGTATAATTGTACATACATCGAGATTGAAATATCGTGTGAAGGAGAGTAATTTGGTTGCAGAACTGCTTCACCCGACCGAACTGTCCTCATCCATGGAGTCTTTGGCGGCGTACGAAGCGTCTGTCGGTTCACCCGGGCCGGTGCATCAGAGCCAGCGAACGAAACGGATGAGAACGAGCTTCAAGCACCATCAGTTGCGGACGATGAAGAATTATTTTGCTATAAATCAGAATCCCGACGCGAAGGACCTCAAGCAACTGGCGCAGAAGACAGGGCTTTCGAAGAGGGTGCTTCAGGTAGGAAATAAATTTCAGTTGTCTCGTTTCGACAAGAGTACAAAACATAATTAGCAAATATAATATTTTGTTTTATTTTACTCGATGCTCTAAAGAATGGTTTTCATACATATAATATGATAAGATGGTAGCAGTCCATCTAGTCGGAACTTACATTGGAATAATTTATGTAATAATTGATTTTTCCTTCGACATTTCCCTCGTACACCTATATACAGAGTGTCCTTTTAGAGATGAACCAAGTATACCAAATTACTGCTCTCTCGAGACAGAAAAAGGAAACGTATTTGAAATATTTTTTAAATGACAAATATAATTGTTTCAGAGATAATTGAATTTATAGATTAAAACGAGACACCTTGTGTATATAACCATTTCTAGTAAAAGAGTGGAATGTCGCGTTTGAAACACAATCTCGAAAGAAATCCAGCACAACGAGACGACCAACACGAAAAGGGAACCAGATCATTACAGTATCTAATGATCGAATTTTCACTCGTCGAATTACACTCTCGTTCAACTATTTTCCAAACCTTCCATTTCTGTTACCATCAATTTCTATTTGTTACTCTACACCGAGTAGAAAAATGCGTCGGGAAAAAAAATGCGGAACGGAAGGAGGAAAGGAAGAACGAGCCCTGAGCACTGATTCTCGGTTCGCGCAGGTCTGGTTCCAAAACGCTCGCGCGAAATGGCGACGAAACATGATGAGGCAGGAGGGCAACACGACGACGAGCAACGTAGGGTGTCCAGGCACGCCCGTGCCGTCGAACACGGCCGGCTCGCCGAACGTAGGACCGGCGGCCAGCATCCTAGGCGACAGCAACAGCATGCCGTCGACCTCGATGGAGGAGCTGCACGCTCTTCATCACCTACATTCCGGCGTTTCCTCTCAGGTCTCGTTCTCCGATCTTTACTGACGACGGCTTGAGATGGAGGAAGACAGCTACAGCAGCCTTTCCAGCCATCTTGGATGAAGGATCTTGGCCGCGTCTTCCTTTTCGAATCGATTTTCTCAGCGCCCGTTTTCTCAGAGGATAAAGCGTGGACTTTCCCGCTTCTTTCCCGCCCTCTCCCTCTTACCCGCCGGAATCGGCTCAATTTTCTTCTCCGTTTCTTGCTCGAGACTTTCGACCGGTTGATCGTTGACCAATGAGTGACAACGTTTCGATTCGGAAAAAAAAGAAAAAGAAAGAAAAAAAACAAACGTAGAAGCGTTTCCACTGATTAGTCCTCTGAATGGCGCGAGAATCGAATTCTAGGCGAATTCTAGGGACTCCTAGGACGCTGAACCTTTCGACGAATTTCCCGGTGAGTGATAAATCCGAGAGTGTTGTTTTCGAAAGACTTAGATCGCCGCGGTCATTTGTCCGATAAGGAGAATTAATGATTTCGATTAAACCGGCTCGTTAGAAAGCCACGTTTCTTAATTAATAAGCGACACGCGGCCAATGAAGACGTTTACAATCGCTAATGGCTTGCAAACGATCCGTTCCTACGGAGGCTTGTCAAATCCCCGCAATTATCGCATTCGTTCAAGCAAAACCGACTATTAAACGCCTCTCGAGCGATTATACTTCAACAACAATCTGCAAACGTCAATTACACGTAACAAGAACAAACGACCGTTCATCGATCACCAGCCACGATTTACGTGGCCGAGCCACGCTAAAAACCGATTGGCCAATCCATCAACCACCCGTACATACATGGTTGCATAAAACGAATCGAGCCAAGCATCTTCCGGATCTACGCTCCTATCGATTTCTACGTCGATCTCTCCTCCATCGATCGAGAAACAGACACGCGGTTTGTCTAACGAGTTTGTAACTCACCGGGAAACGGTCAAGGTTCACCGATAGTGGCAGATCGACGTGGCGCCAACGGCGTTTTTAGGCTGAAACGGATTATGTTTAAGCGATCAGTGATAATAATCATAGTTCCATGCACATCCGAATTACCAAAGGTACTAGGCGATAGTTTATCTCGCTAGCGAGAGCGCGAGTCGGGTTTCGACGTCGAAGGTCGAGGTGGGCATCGGGCAGATTCGTCGAAATAAGGGGGAGAGGGAGAAGAAACGACGATGAAACTGTCCCATGGTTTTTCGGATCGTGAGACTCAGAAGGGTTCCGGCAGAATGGGCGTATCTCTCCTCCACCGTGTAATTATATTACACCGCCGGATTGTTTCATTTGTTTCAATTTGGTCCGGCCTTTAAGGCTTCAGACGGCTGTTTCGCGCGATCAATTCTCAGAGCGATTTCACATTCCCGTTGATTATTATTCATTTTTTTTTCCTTCGTGTAGTATTTACATCGGTATGTAAAGAAACAACGACGCAAATTAAAATTTGAATGGAATATTTCTAATTACAAATGAAACTGTTGCATTGAATTTGGTGGAGTAACTTTTCTCATTTATACGTTGTCTCGAGTCATTGGGAATATATTTAAAATAATTATTGGTCGATCGATCGACTGATGAGTTGTCTTGTGTAATTTTCGATGATAGCTCGAAAATCGATGCATACGTCTGAAGTTATTTCGACGTACCTCGGTGTTTCACCACCCTGGCACTGTAGCCCGACCATCGCGCGCTGCTTCACTCCTCCTTTTTAGCCGAGAACCGTGTCACGAAGACACTTTTTGATAATGGCGATTTACGGGCTAGAGAATCGCGAACGAACGAGCGACAGGTGTGGTAAAACGGCGTTCCTCTCCTCGTGCCAAAAACGTACATAACGAGTAGCTAAGATACGAGTTCTTTTTGTACGGTGTCGATCGAGTCCAAGGTATTTGCGCGATTGTTCAAATAAAACGATCATCCTTCTTTTCGTTTTAATTCGTATTGCTTGTCTATCATTGTAAAAAAAAAAAAAAAAAAAAAATGAAGAAGTCGAGAAAAGAAGGAAGAAGATCAAAGAAACGAAGGAATTCTTCGTCCGGTCAAAAATGTGGATCTTTGGACTCGATCGACACGAAATACACTTATTCGACCATTGACGACACGATATGTATATTACAGACGATGAAAATAGCCGACAGATCGCAAAAGTTTTTAGCCAGACGTAAGCAACGTAGCAGAAGACTTGAGAATATCGAGTGTCTTGAGCGCGATCGACAAAGTGTAGCAAAGTGATGGACGCCAAGAAAAGAAAAACAAAGAAACAGTACCAAAACAAAAAGAAAAAAAAAATCGACGCGAACTTTCCACTGTGTGACACACGCATGCGTCGCGTTTCCGACGTAACGTCAAAAAAAAAAGAATTTAAAAAAAAAAGAGAGAAAGAGAATAGAAACGAGGATTCCTATGACGAGAAGATGAGATTTATTTGTAACGATCGAGAACTTATAATTTTTATATATATACGTCGTAAAATTAGAAGATGATATTTATCGACTGCAAGCGACGAGACGTGTTTCGACGATAAACGATCGTCCCGATGGAATTCTAAATCCCGCGATTGTTTTCGCCGACGTGAAAATTCCTCCCCTTTTTTTCCCC